AAACATCTCCAGCCAAAACATAATCCATTTAAGAAAATACAATTCACACACTCTTTTCCATATTTCCATATTTTCATCCGAGCCTGATAACAGCACAACGACATACCTCTTCTCTTTACTACTTGTAAAGCTCTTTGTATTCTCTCAGGAGGGATGAAAGAGAAAGTGAAATTTTTCAGCATCGCGAATATTGAGAAAACGAGGTGTATTCCTTCGACTTTTTCATCTCTTTTCTTTTCACCATCAACCATCAAGTAATTGTGATACGAGCTAAATCGGATCAAGTCATTTTAGATATTACTTTGATGTTACTTTCCCAAGAGCAAACTCGTTGGAAAAAAAATTTAATAAAAAAATATTATTAATACAACAGATTAAAAATATAAATAAATTTTGTGGCTTTATCGGATACGATAAATCAACGAATTTATAATGCTTCACAGGATTAATTAAATTATCATGTAATTTCTTACAGATTTATATACGATGTACTTTAATAAAAGTTTTTTTCACAATTTCCCCGTAAAAGCGTTAAAAGTGTCAGATGCAAAAAAATTACCGTTCAATTTTTATCTCGAAAGGATACATCTACTGATTACGACAGACAGAATAATGATATGATTAGAATCGAGAGGCTTGCATATCAAGTCGTAATGGGTATGTAACATATAGCGATAAAAAGAGAAAAGAGGAGAAATGATGAGAGAGAAAGAGCGATTTGGCCTAATCTGTGTCTCCATCGATGTTACGTATCTAATATTTACCCATGTCACTGCGATACACGTATTAAGGGATATAACATTCCTCCCTGGTGAGAGAAAAAAGGTGGGGAGAAATGTTTATATAAAATCTACATCTATATATATGCCAGGTCTCTATATACATATATGTATGAGAACGCAAAACAGCGTTCGACACCTGACATCGCGCACACACTCGTCGACACACTCTTATGCAATATAACACATATATACAGACATACACATACGCACGTTTTGCAATACAAAATACAAAACATTAGCGAGAGATCCGGAATATCCGCGAGTTCGACGAGGGTGAGCGCGAATGACATTTGTATATATATATATAAGGTGTTAAAAAATTAGACGACACATTTTTAAAAAGAAAAAGAGAATTTCAAATTAAACATTTTTTGTTCATACTAATTTTCTCTACAACGTTTAATTTTAATACTACATAATATGAAATATAAATTTATATGGTTTTTCAATTTGTCATTTTCGAATTTTGGAGCATTTATTGTTGCAAAAAAGTGATTCACTTCTATGTACTTATTCAAGATTAAAAAATACAATTTAATTTTTCCACTTATACATTTGTTTATTGTTTAAGTCACAAACTCTTATTTCATACTACATGTAGTATAAAACTACCTAAGTAGCAAATTGGCGTCATTAAACGTTAAAATGACATTTTGTTAAAATTTCATTTTGACGTCAAAACGAAAAAAATGTTTATTTTAAAGTTTTCTATTTCCCTTAAAAATCTGTCGATCTAATTTTTTAACATCCTGTATATATTTTCCTTCGCCATTCTCTATAAAAAAATTGACATCTTCCTAATGCAAACTAACGTTGTTGCGAGCGTAAATAACTACATATGTGCGCGTGTTATCACGCGACATTATTATCGTTGTTATGATTATATGTCAGCGTTTTACCGTATTTATATTATATATAAGCACGATTATCGATTATATAAATTATTATCTCAATTATTATTTAAATTTTTAGCGAGTTGACACACTCTAATTATGTAAGACGCGACGCGGAACCGTTCAACGGTTCACACTTTATATTTCTACACACATTAATATATATATAGTATATACATACTTATACATATATATATAACAAAATATAAATATATATATATATACATATATATAAAATATACATATATAATTAGTGAGAAACGGAAGTTTTCCATCCCGTTGATAAAAAAAGATATATAGCAAAAGAGTAAACACAAATAATATATATAAATAAAAAAAATATATATATATATATGTATATTAATAAATCTGAAAAAATGGAAAAATAAAAAGTACGACGCATATATAAATATAAATATATATATCTATATACATGTGTATAATAGTCTATAATTTTTCATATTGTTGTACGGATTTTTAAGTTTATATTAAAATGTTTTGTGCATTCATAAAAAAAAAGTATCGAATATTCATGTGTCTCTTTGTTATTTTGTACACTTACCCCATTTATATCCCCTCTGACGTCCGTCAGTCTTTGAATTTATCGCCGCCGAATGTGTACCGTTATGCAACGTTACGGTGTCTTCGACGTGTCGCTCATGAATAATGAGAGACCACGAAATAAGTCTGAGAAAACACAAAAAATTAGAATTCTAACAAAACAATAATCATAAACATGCAGGTAAAAAAAGCGGGCAAATAAGGCACCAGATATAGAAGACAAGCTCCTGACTTTGACACAAAAATATATCATGCACTGTAAAAAAATATGTAATATATTACACAAAAATATGTAAAATTACATAAATAATAAGTGTAAAATTACACGATAAATAATAGAAATGATTACCTTTTCATTATTTATCATGTAATTTTACATTTATTATTTATGTAATTTTACAAAATTTTTTTACAGTGTGGCATGAATAAATTACGACCTTTCATTCAAGTATACAAAAGATATTCTGTCGAAACAATTTTGTTTACGAAAAAAATAAAAAGATCACGGACAAAAATCAGGACAATTACGATCTACATTAACTGTTAGTCATAAATATTTATATACATACATATATTATACATATATATATATATATATATATATATATATATCACAATGTATTCGAGAACAAGTTGCGTAAACAGATTTAAAACTTATCTTAAAGTCTAGAGATATAGTAATTTAAAAATTTATCATTAATAAAACAAAAAAGCGGAACAACACGAAAAATTGTTATAATATGAACAATTAAAAACAATTCTAAAAAAGACTGCGCATGCGGATTTCAACTACATATAATAAAGTCAGGTCACTCTTTAAATTCTTCGCTTTAAGATCGACATCGATCTATCTCCGGTTAAAGACTTATTCGCACGTAGAAACGTCTCGTTTTAAGTTATGTGAATGTGACACCTGACTTTAAAAAATTAATTTTTTAATACGGAAAATGACATTTCGATCGTTCGCTCGATATATATAAAAATTATCGTCGTCGATATATATAAAAATTAAAAATTTTTAATTGATACCTTTGGAGAATCAATCAAGATGAAGAGATTCTCGATCTCCGATTGGTCGGTCAAATTCACTTTGACTAACTTTCTTCTTCTAATTGTACATTTTGATTCATGGTTTATGAAAAAAATTGTTTTTGATAAATAATTATAACGAGCTTTTAATTAAATATTAAATATCGATCCATTGACCGAAAGAAAATGTAGAAATTTATAATAAAATGTTTAGCCTTTGTATATATTAAATAAATATGTAATAATATTCAATTTATATAATACAGAGGCTCTTTTTGCAATATATATTATTTTATATAATTTTATTATTTTATATATAAATATTTCATAATAAATATCTTATATATAAATAAAAAATTATATAATACATATATCGTATGTAATTATAAAAGATATCATTAATTTATACGACTTCATTATCGAGAATACAAAATCTTATTTCTGTCAGTCATAATTTAAACTATTAATAATCTAAGAAATTCGATAATAAAGATCAGTGATATTTTCCTTCAATTTTATTTTCTTATTGGTACAGTTTTCACATGTCGCGACTACAAACTAACAATACGTATATAATAATTAATACATAACGCATGGTTGATACGGTTTAAAGAGAAAAATAAGGAACAAACGATAAGAAATGTAGGTATAATCTGCATAAATAAACGGAAAATAATGGGACGTAACAATGGAAGAAATTTAATAAATACCACTTTTGACGTAAGCAAGATATTTATGATATTTATTTTGCGTTCTATATATAATAATTGTTATAATCTATTGTAGGTAAAGTAATCTAAGCAAAGTTGTTGCAGTACACCTCTAAGGTGAGATTATCCGTTCGTTTATCACTGCAACCAGGTGGACAACAAAGGATCTTGCAAAACGTAATAAATAAATCGATCGAAAATGAAAAAAAAAAAACGATTCACGGAGGGGAGGAAAGGGTAACCGGGAAGAAGATATTTCTATTTTGTGAAAATATAAAAGCATCAAAGTCGTCAATTCGCGACATGCAAGGACAAGACTCTACGAATTCCACTTATGACAGAGGACTGTCACGTGATTGCATACCTGGCTGCAGCAATTAATCAACTTATATAGCTACAATATACCTGGAGAGGCTGCACACGGTTTTGTTTCTTTTTTCTTTTCACTCAAGTTATGTAATATCTATTTTATCGCCTCGATATTTACACGTCCTCATATTGGTCAGTTACAAAGTTTGCTGTATCAAATAGATAACAAATCGCCTACGTGTAAAACCGCTCGCGTTTGTAGAAGAAATGATCGCGCGTGTAAAAAAGAAAAAAATAGTATATTGTGTATCAAGTGCGGAAAGTTGACAATTGGTCACGAGTGCGGGGGATGGACGCACGAGTCGAAGGCGAGTGCGACCACCCCCACACGAGTGAACAATTGTCAATTCGCACGTGATACACATACTACTTTGTATTGCAAGAGCAGGCAAAGTGGCTTTGTACGCGTTTTCTGTGCGCGAGGTGGCCGATCGCACGCCGCCATCATGCGGTGGCACGATGCGGGAATAGCCGTGTTCAAAGTCATTGTCCATGGCTTCAGTCGTGGGCAATGACTTTGAACGCGGTTCAGCCGTAGGCAATGACTTTGAACGCGACTTATTCACTCACCGCGTCGCCGCTAGACGGCGGCGTGGGAAATCGGCCGCTTTCCGCACAGAAAACACGAACACAAAGTGCCACTTTGCCTGCACGTGTAATACAAAAAACTTTTGTTAACACAACGACACAATTATTATAAATATAAGACTTGAAGAATTAATCGCGCATTGTAAAGTGAATTAATAGTAAACAAGAGAGCTTCGCCGTCTTTTTTTCATTCGCAAATTTTTACCCCGAATTGTGTCGCGAGAAACAAAACGCCTATATCACGTAAAAATCGATCGATCGATCGATGCTGAATCTCAGGAACATGCAGCGCAAGAACGTGGAATAATGAAGAGAATCCATGATCTCGGAAGAATGAAAAAGTCTCATCAGTCCGTCTCCCTTTTCGCGATTCGTGGAGGAGAATCCTTCTCTTTTCAAGTCTTCCGGCGACTCGCGAAACCTTTAATCGGCGTTCTCGTGGAATTTGATGTAGTGTATCTTCAGGGCCCGGTTGTTGGGATACTTGACGTGACATCTGGGACACGTGGCCCCGACCGCCCCTTCACGACGTACCCGCTCAGGTTGACCTCCCTGTGGAACGTCCTGCTGTCAGCCTGGTAGACCGCGTTGTGCACATTGGTGATGTGGCTCGTGATCGCCTCCCTGTTGAAGACGTGGCACTGCTTGCACAGCTTGCAGCTGTACAGGACGTTGTTGTGGACCGGCTCGGGGACCTCCTTCGCGACTCGTTCGACAGGAGGAGGAGGAGGAGAAGGAGGAGGAGGAGGGAGTACCTCGATGCTTGCAGCAGGCGGCTGATGATTGGATTCCGCGGTCTTCTTGTGCTTGATGGTAAAGTGCTGTCGTAGATTCGACAGGCCGGGGAACTCCTTGTAGCAGACGTTGCACGAGAACTTGCCGTCCTGAGTCGACATCGGTATACACTCGGGTATCACGTTCTTACGCTTGTGCACGTTCTGCTTGTGTTTGTACAGCACGCTCATGCTCGGGAATACCTTCTTGCACACGTGACACATGACCGGCTTCTTCCTCCTCTCGCCGGCGAAATCCATGGCGAAGGGCGGCACCTTACATATTGTTAGAGTGTCCGCGTAAATCGGAGTATCCATCTTCATGCGTTTCGACTTGGGCTGCTCGACGTCGTCGTGGGATAATCTGCGACCGCTATTGTACATTTGTAGCTGCGGTTGCCGTTGCGGGTTCTGCGCCTCACTGTGGAAGTTGAGTTTGTGCCGTTGGAGCGACTGGTTGCTGGAGAAGATCTTCCGGCAGAAAGTACAGAGGAATTGGCTGGCCATCGGTTTCCTGGCCAAAGATTGGAACTTGATCGACGCTTGGACGGTGGGCTTGTGAAGCTTCTTGTGCTTCCACAGAACCTTCTTCGAGCTGTAAGACTTGCTGCACACGTCGCAGGAGTACGTCTTTCGTATGTCGCTGAGAATCGGGTTGGCCTTGTGCCACCGCATGTGCGACGCCAAGGTCTCCCGATCGGGGAAGACGTTCGTGCAGAGCTCGCACTGGAGCTCATCGTTGGAGAAGCTCTTCTCCGGTTTGTTGCGGGCGCAATGGACGTCCCACAGGTGGTTCCGCAGCTCCGTGACGTCGTTGAATCGGTCGTTGCACACTTGACACTGGAAGTTCCTCTTCGACGCCATCGTTGTCTGGAGCGGAGGATTAGGGAAGGATTTTCGGGCTCTCGCCGGTCGTTCCGAATTCTCGGCCGACTCAACGCCAGCCGATTCCATCTGTGACTCGTTATCGGGCGTCTTCTTATTACCCAGGATGAATCGCGTGCTCAGACGAGAGTTGGTACGGTTATGCCAGCCTCGGTGTATCTTCAGCGACGCCTCTTCAACGAAAACCTTGCCACAAATATCGCAGGCGTAACCGTTTTTCGATTTCTCCAGGTGGGCGGTGCGAAAATGATAGGTGAAGTTCGACTGGTAGATGAATTGCTTGGGGCACTGGGGACACTGGTATGTCGTCTTCGTGTTGTGTTTGATCTGCATATGGTGATCATAGAGCTCCTTACGCGTAAACATGAGCGAGCATTCGACGCAGTCGTAGATCTTGGCGTTCCGATGAGCGATTTTGGTGTGCCGGCGAAGATTGGAGTAATTCGACATCACCTTGCCGCATTCGGAGCACTCGTGAATCTGCGTGCCGGGATCCGAGATGGCGCTGGCGTTCATCGCGTTCTTCTCGTCGATCCTCACGTCCTCGTCCAGGTTGCCGTACTCCACGCAGGAGATATTGGCGTTTCGTTCATTCGGATCCTCGATACCGTGATCCTTCATGTGGATCTCCAACGTGCCCGGGCTGCTGAACATGCTGTGACAGATGGCGCAGGAATATATCTTCACCTTGAGATGAAGATTCCGGTGCTCGATCAGCTGCGACCTCGTGGAGAACTCTTGAGTGCAAAGCGCGCAACTGTACTTCTGAGTGCCGATTCTCGACTTGGCGGTCGATTTGACGTTTCGCTCCTTCAACGGCGCCTGAACTGCGTTCCGCTGCGCGTCGTCCTGGGTCACCTGACGATTTCCGGCAAGGACAGCCGAGCGGTGTTTCTCATGATGGGTCAGGTAATCGCTGGGCGATCGGAACTTCGAGTTACACTCGACGCAAGTGAACTCCTTCTTCTTGTGATCGACCGTGATGTGAGTGTGGAATTTCTTGAACACGAGGAATGTCATGGAACAGTGTATGCACTTGTACGAAACTCTCTCTTCCGACTGCAGCCTCTGACAGAACTCGCGATGCTTGAACATGTTGGTTCGGTATCTGTAGATCATACCGCAGAGATCGCAAGCGTGATTGTGCGCCGGATCGCCGTTCTTGTAAGGCCCGCTGACGACGTTCTTCTGCTGCGCTTTATCCGGACTGCCTTTCCCGGACGGCAACGGTGCCATCGGCTTCAGCTTGGGTGGCGCGCGCGCCGGCGACATCATCTCCTCGTACTGCTTGTCGGAATGCTTGGATAAGTGACTCAGCAGCTCCTTCCTATCGCGCATCGAACGCAGACACATGTTGCACGTGAAATACCGTTCATTGCCGTACTTGGGTATCACCAGGGCGATCTTCATGGCACACTCGAAGGACGCGCCGCAATGTAATTGATACATGGACCGATCTGGAAACTCGGTCAAGCAAGCAATGCACGTGTACGGTCGCAAATCCGGCAGATGCTGGCGGATGTGGGAAAGCGTGCTACGCCGATCGTTGAATGTCTGTTCGCAAGAATAGCAGGAGAATGTCTTCAACTGGCTGATAATTTCCTGCTGGACCTGCGTCAGCGGCGCGTCCTTCTCCATGCTGACTAACTCGTCCTCTAAATCCTCCACCATCTCTTCGTCGTCGTCGTTCTGCGATAACTCCAAATTGTCAATGCTATCGTTCTCCTTGCTGTGGAATCTCTTCATGTGGTTCATGTACGAATATTTGGAATGCAGGAATATCTGGCAATGCGTGCACTTCTTCTTAAAGACGCGTGTCCCTCTGAAATGGGTGTGAGGACCGCGTCTCATCTTCTTCTTGGGCAACACACTAGTTGCGTTAGATTTTTGCGTGGAATCAGCCTCCATAACCGTATCCTCTTTTGCTGCAGCCGTCATGGGATTCAATAACAATTCGTTGCTATTCATTGATTTTAGTTCGATAGTGCAATAGGTATCGTTCTCGTCCGGTGGCTCGGTTTTAATAGCACGTAGAGGTGTAGCAGCCTGCTGATCCACTTGACCTTTGTCTACTTGACTTTGATCTATCTCATCTTGATCATTGTCAGGTTCCATTTCCATGGTGGATGGAACTGTCTCTGTAGATGGAATTGTCTCCGTAGATGGAATTGTTTCCGTAGATGGAATTATCTCTGCAATAGATGGATCTGGAATTGTTTCCGTAGATGGAATTATCTCTGCAGTAGATGGATCTGTCTCTGCAGTAGATGAATCTGTCTCCGCAGTAGATGGAATTGTCTCCAAATATTTTTGTTTTTGTGCGACATTCGCGTCGGTTTCATCTATTACTTCTTGTATTTCCTTGTCAGTCTCCTTGTCTTCCACTATTTGAGGCGACGAACCCTGAAAAACAGATATTTTTAATGATATGTTGAAAATATGTTGATAATATGTTGAAAAATATATTGAAAAATGTGTTAATAATATGTTGAAAAAATATTATCTATATACTAATATTTCAAGTTATAAGTTTTCGCCATCTTATTTCTCATATGAGAAAAATACTTACTGCTTGTTCAAAGTTATTGATAGTCTCTGAAATAATTTCTACATTGTCCTCATAATCAATATCCATCGGTTCGTCCTTGATTGTTATGACCTACAAATGTGGGCACAGTGTGAATACCAAAATAGAAGTGATTAAAGGATTTTCAAGATATATATATTTTGAAATATCATATATTCACCATAGGATTTGGTTGAGACTCGCTTGACAGCCATTCTTGCAACGTGTCCTGTGAACGCAGACATGACTCCTTGTAAGTATGCCACTGGTTAACTTTCTTTACGCAACATGTGCATATCAGTGTGGACAGCCTGTCGGTGGCTGAAATCTGAAAAAAGCATTCAGCACATTAAAATTTTAACAATTTCCAAACTTTTGAGCAAATCAAACTCACTTAATTAGGAAAATCTAGCATTTTTGTTCTTTCGTATCATGCTTCTAATTTCTTTTACTATTTTAAATATTTTTAGTGTTTCTATATGTTTTTCTTATATATTTTATTTTAAATATAAAAAACAGAATATCAAAAAAACAAAGCGAAGAGCAAATTTAAAATTTTAGGTAAACTATGCCTCATTTTCTGCCCTCATTAACAGATGTTTACATTTATAATTAAAACTCCTTACTTAAAGTTTTTATAAATTTATCCATCAATATCTACATAAGCTGATAACATTGTTTTAATATTACTCGATCTCCAAAAGTTATTTTCATAAAATTTCTATTTACATATAGTTACTTCTCTTTAAAAGATATAAAAATTTAGCTCACACACACACACACATGGTCGCATCCAAGATAATTATCTCACTCATCCATCAATTAATTCATTCATCTAAAATAAGTCAATATTAGAAGAAAATGTAATAGAAGAAGAGAAACTGAAGACATCAAACCATAAGCTGACAACATTGTTTTAATATTACTCGATCTCTAAAAATTATTTTCATTAAATTTACATTTACATATTGTTATTTCTCTCTTTAAAAGGTATAAGAATTTAGCTCGCATGCTGCATCCAAAATAATTATCTCCCTCATCCATCAATTAATTCATTCATCTAAAATAAAGTCAATATTAGAAGAAAATGTAATAGAAAAGAGAAACTAAAGACATCAAACCATAAGCTGACGACATTGTTTTAATATTACTCGATCTCTAAAAATTATTTTCATTAAATTTACATTTACATATTGTTATTTCTCTCTGTAAAAGGTTCAAGAATTTAGCTCGCATGCTACATCCAAAATAATTATCTCCCTCATCCATCAATTAACTCATTCATCTAAAATAAGTCAATATTAGAAGAAAATGTAATAGAAGAAGAGAAACTGAAGACATCAAACCATAAGCTGACGACATTGTTTTAATATTACTCGATCTCTAAGAATTATTTTCATTAAATTTACATTTACATATTGTTATTTCTCTCTGTAAAAGGTTCAAGAATTTAGCTCGCATGCTGCGTCCAAAATAATTATCTCCCTCATCCATCAATTAACTCATTCATCTAAAATAAGTCAATATTAGAAGAAAATGCATCGAAAGAAGAGAAACTGAAGACACCAAACGAGTCCTAAGGAGATTGAGCACCTCTCTCCAACTTCATCATCAATCCTGCTCGCGGATATAACCTCAAAGCTAACACAATCGAGCATCAACCAAGGTCGATCTCATCGGAGACAGACCCGTAGATTCTCGTAAACGAGACGAAGACGACTCTTCCTGGCAGTTCTTACCTGGATCGACAGGCAAGCCTGGATCTTGGCGGCCAGTGGCAGCCCGGACGCATCCTCCTCCTTCTCTCGGTTCTGGTCGAATACGGACGACCTGGGGCCGTCCGTGGACAAGCACAGCCGGCAGACCGTCTCCACGTTCCCGATCTCCACCACGTCCTCGTCCTCCATCGCGGACACCGGCTCGAAGTGTGCTCTGAATAAAAGCTACTCGTGCACGCTTAGCGAGGCGGGAACTCGGAAGGCTCTTCTACGTGACGTACTTTCCTTCTTCTTCTCCAGAAAGACCCAGGTTAGGGGACGCAGCGTTTTGTTTGCGGCCTGAGGATAGGACACGCCACTTCGTGAGTTACTTGACACCGGGGGGAGAGCGCAGATCCGTTCCGCGTGTTCCACGCGTCCCAGCTTGACAGCGCAGCTGTCAGATGGCGCGAGCGATGACGTTTCGAGTCGCGCGGCGAGAAGTTGGCGCGCTTTCGCTCATCTCGTCTTTCGACGAGTGTCTCTCGCGAGTGCGTTTCTACATTTTTTCGCCTGTGTTTTTACCCTTTTTCGCGTGTGTTTTTTCCTTCGCATTCCTTCGAAATCCCATATATCGATCGAGAGAAGAACGAGGTGAGTTCGGATTGATTGTTTTAATTGATTTACTCGGCCTTGTGGAAATTTATGGAGCATCGGAGAATCCGATGGTTTGTTTCTCAACGGATCTTAATTTGAAAAAAAATAGCGATTTGTTTAGAACGTGTGAAATAATATATTATCAAAGACACAATATGCAATTCGAAATAAAGTGAATTCTAGTAATATTTTTTATATTTTGAATATACTGAAAAAAATCAATGTACTTTTACATGGAAATTACTTGTCCAGAACTGGAAAAATTACTTGACTATCAATGTAATTTTTTTCCATATTTTTTTAAGTGAAAATACATATTAATATAAAAATACATGTAAAATAGGTAAAATTATTATTTTTATGCAAAAGTCATATGGAATTTTAAATTTATAAAGTATTTTTATTTTATTCGAACTTTATTTTATATATAAGCTTTTATTTATTTTATTTAAATTATAACATTATTTTCTAGCATTTCTACATTATTAGAATTTCCTGTGTAATTCCATGTTCAGTGGAATATTTTTAATTTTGAAAATATGTAAGACCCATATTTCATATGAAATTACATATAATTTGTAATCTTCCATAAAAGTAGCAATAATATTGTATGATTTATATGCTGGATCGGAAAAAAAATCTAGCATAATCATGTAATTTTACAAATATCTTTCAGTGTAGACTTATAAAATAGGGCCAGTTTTGTTTTTTGAATATTCTGAAAAATTGCACAAGATAAAAGAAAAAAAGAATTATCTCGTAATATTTAAATAATGTATTAAATATGCCCAATAAAACAGTACATATATTTAATAATAATTATAATTATTGTTAATGCAATATTATAAAAGTTTTAAGTTAATTTTTGCATGAACATTCTTTTATAAAGGGTGATTTATTTAGAAAGTATGAAATGCGATGCAATCTGACAAATAAAAGCGACTTTCCAATCAATATTTATGAGTATAAATTTATATTTTAAACTATCACCTATTAATAGTTTAAAATACAAAATGTACATCTCATTTTTCTTTATTAAATATAATTTATACATATAATGAGCGAAATATATCTCTTATACCAATAAACAGCGTATATTTAATAATAATTATAATTATTATTAATGCAATAATTATAAAAGTTATGAAAAATAATATAAATTAATTTTTGCATTAGCATTAATTTGCTAGAGAGAAACCTTTTCTGATTACCTTCATTTGAATATTCCGAAAATCGCACAAGAAAAAAAAAAGAAATAGAATTATTGCAATGCGTAAATAATTTATACAATTTTGCGTTTCTATTTAAAAAAAACAATTTTTCTAAATTGATTTTTTAGATTGGAAAGAATCCATTGCATTTTTTAAATCTAAAACCATATTTTTATTTTAGCTAAAAACAAAAATAAATAAACCAGTTCGCTGATTCTATTTTTATTGTGATTTATCGAAAAGAATCGCTTTGCGAGAACGAGAAGATTTATAGCATTTCAATCGGGCTGGGAATATTACAGAGAAATGTGTATCTGGTCGGTCTTTTTTATTTATTTTCATACATGCCTTCTGTGTGTGATATACATTTGTTACACAAAATTGTCATTTGTACACTGCAGGTAAGACAGATTGCACATCGTATACAACGGGATGTAGCATACGCGAGATATATTCTTCTAATCTCTCTCTTGCGCGCAAAAACCGACTCTATAAATTCTCTCTCTTCCCTTCTATTCCCAGTTTGCTATAAAATTAACGTCTGCGCGAGAAGAGATCGAGAATGATTGTAATATGGGTCCCCCTCGCAGTAACGTCGATAGAGCTTTATTAAACAGTGTTATAGATTTATTGACTCTTCATCTTGATAAAGCGTTCTCAACTTCGCTTAGAATTTTGACTCGATAACGATCGATATAATATATATTTCATTAGTTCTTCTCGATTATATGGAGATAATCGTTGGCCGATCGGCCAATTCGTATCTCCTTGATAAATATCTCATTTGTCGTTTATACAAAACGCGTCTATTAACGATCGATATCACGAAAATATGCACATACATTTGTCGATTATAAGAACGAGAAAGAAAGAAAGAAAGAAAGGGAAAAAGCATCGCGCAGATGTACGTCGAGGATAGGTACGAAATTTCAAGTGCATCCGTGCATCTCGCTTCGCTAGATGGTAGCTACGAATCGTTTCGCGATGCATCTCTACGAGAGAGTGCATAAAGGCTTATGCACACTATGTACGTCATCCAAGTCTCATAATGTTTCTCCTACTTTTGATCTCATTTTTGTATCCAACATTTATTTCGGTATTTAAAGAAGTCAGATTATCGTCTTTTAAAACTATTTAACTTGTAGCTTAAAAAAGAAAAGTTTTTGAGACAAAATATGAATTAAATAATTTGTGATTTCTGACTGCTGAAGTAAATGTTACGTTGAAAATTGAAATCAACAATAGAAGAAAAATATAGACTTGGGTTTATTTTCCTTATGACATTTCTAATAATCTTCCTGATTTCTTCTTTTTGTTTAATCCGAGATTATTGCATCCAAGGAAAAATCCATATATAATCAAATATAATAATATTTCTCTTTGTATATATGAAAAACAATAAGAATAATTGAAAAAGAATTAAAGGAATAATCTTCGCATTAATTAGAAAAAGAAAATTTTAAGAAATGAGAAAAGATTAGTCATATATAATTATATATAAAAAAATTGCCTGTATATAATTTGCCTTGTATATATGAATAGAAATTATACAAAAAAGGGAAACTATATATATATATATATATATATATATATATACATATATTTATATTTGATCAAATATGGACTTTTTTCCGGACAGTTTTATCACAATTTTTTTTTGTTTTTTTAAAATAAAAATATTTTAATAATATAATAAAGAGACAAAAACGCAATCTTAATCTGGATCAAAACTAGATGGTAAGTTAATGACGATGACCTCCAGTTGACAATAGCAATGTGACATTTCGTATAATGTGCATAGACCTTTATTTCCCTCTTTTCCTCTTTTTCCTCTCTTCCTCTCTCCCTCTCTCTTTCTCTCTTTCGACACTATTATATCACAACTACGTTACTTAGTATGCCGAGAGACTGAGCTTGCATTGATATTTTTGTTCACTTACGCAGGCACCGCGAGACAGATGCAACCGCACGTTGAATAAACGCGCGCGCTATATACCTAACTTGTAACAAGCACATTGTATGCAAATTGAAGATTACAGTCCTTTATGCAAACAGCGCAACAAATGATTATAGAGTCGGGGCGTGCGACAACCAGTAAGCTGTAATTTACGCTTACGTTTGCTTTTAATAATCGCGCGTCACTGAGCGTTTAATATTAATATACAATTCTTCGCAAAATTGATGAAATATTTTTAAAATTTTAGAAAAAAATCTTTGATGTAAATAACAAAAAAGGATGGAGTGAACGGAGATTACATTCAGTTCCTGTATATATATTACCGGAGAAAAATGGAACACGCGAACTAATTGTACGTCTATAAAATAATTTCTAAATAATGTTTCTTTCGAAATTTTCAAAATACTTGATCAATTTCGCGAGTCATTGTATATATATATATATATATATATGTTGTACGCGAAATTAGAACCATTGAGCGCTAGAGGCTTTTACCTATGGAGGTGTCTCGTGTTGTGTATACGTGAGATTCTCTATCTTCTTAGAACTATTCACATTAATTGTACGCGAGCAATCATTGACACATGTTTTTTTTACGTTTATAACAAGATTCATGCTATCTTCTCTTATTCTCTCTTTCTTTCTCTGACACTACATGAAAAGGTCCCAGCTCTCTGGCTCTAATCTTGTAAGAGCGCGATCGATTTCGTATTTATATATTCTACGAAATAAAATAATGCCTCTTGATAATATGCACTTTTTGGAAAAAAGGCTAATACTGTCTTCTCTCGGTCCTTCTTTTCCGATTCGTTTGATGAAATATTATGCGAATCGAGTGTAAAATACTTAGGAGTCTCGCACACGCAAATATGTTGTATATAACAATCATCTTATACGCGGAAATCAAACGAATCCCACATATATGGCTCGAAAACTCGCGCCATAACAGATCTCATCGTGCTTTCAGCTTTCCCCTTATGACTTGATGTAGAAAGAAAAGCGCTTCAGGTTGTTAAACAGCTGGAGTTGAAGCAAGTGCTCCGCTGCGACTGCTGACGCACGTAATCCTGAACGTTGAATTTCGTCTCGTCGGGATTGTCGCTTTTTCTGGCCTTCAGATCCCTGAAACGAGAATAGTCGATTAGCTGCAGTGTTGTGCTTGGATGATTTTAAAATTAGCCAGATAACGATGAGATGAAAAAATGTTAATTCATCTTGGATAAGATGAGGATGATTTTATTTTAAATATATCTTAAATAAAAAATAAAATTATATGGCGATTCATCTAGATAACTCCCAGATAATATTATTTTTAAGGCCGCTTATGTAAACACAGTTATAAAAAAATGTAAATTATAAAAGGGATATGAAAATATAGTCATACTTTTATTTCAAAGTTTTTATCATTTATCATGCTTAAGTTTTTTTATGCTATAACTCTAAGACCTGATTGCGCTAACATTCAATTGGCTTTATGCAAGACTTAAATATGTACTATCTATCTTTATTTTTTTCTAAATAAATAAAAACAAATACATATTTAAGTCTCGAAGCCAAAATGACGTTAATGCAATCAAGCCTAAATCAAATTATCTGAACATTTATCCTAGATAATTTAGAGATAATTTAAAGTAAGACTTATTTTCATCTAAGATGCAGATATAAGTAATACATATCTTTATTATATGTATAAAGATAATGCCAAAATTTCATCTAGATGGTTATTTATATAATTTTATTTAGATAACAGCAAACACTGATCAGCTGTTTAGCTGTCAATTTTTTTTGACACTGGTACATATACGGTCCAATTCTGATCTCTTTTGCAAAGCAAAATATATTTCTAAAAGTTTAGTTAAAACTTCTAATTTTTAATTGTTAAAAATGTTGAATTTTAGAAAGAGCACAGTTGAAAAATTTGTGTTAATTTAACATAATATGAATATAAACTTAATAAAATAAATGCAAAATTTCAAGTAATTTAAAATAAATGTTGTGTAAAATTAATATAGTTTTAACATAAAAATTAACTAAAAATATGTTAATTTTAGATCTTATTATCTCCACTTATATTAAAATAAAAAATCAACATTTCTTTCTGTAAATTTTAACAAATAAATCTTGTCACTAATAAAACAGAACCTATTTTTTATTGTGTAAAATTAAAAATAGATGCATGCACATTGTGTTATTTCTACATCTTTTATATAGTTGCTTTAATAATTTAACATTCAACTTCAATTAACACAACAGCAATGTGTAAAAAATTAACACATAAATGTGTTAAATATTTAAGACAAAAATGTTAACGTTTTTAACAAGAAAACACAAATTTTCCTACTGTGGGATAATTAAGATAAAATTAATCGGCCGCGCTTGAAAAAAATTGTTTTAACGATCACTGTCTTGTCGTTTGATTTTAAATACCGTACCGGGCAACGGCGAGGAATGCCAGTTCGACATTGAGGCCAGTCTTGGCAGACGTTTCCATGAACGGCACTTTGTATTCCTGCGCTAATCGCTCGCCGTCCTCCCGTCTAACAATTCGCTCCGTCCCACAGTCGGATTTGTTACCTGCAGTTTGATAAACAGAGAGCAACGAGAGAAGTTAAATACATATATATTTCCATGGCGCGGTCAACTGCGTTCTCAATTGGCGTTAGCCGAAAGCAATTAAGTCCAATCTAAACACGAGTCAATGGTTCATATACGAAGTAACTTGAATTTCCAGATCGAAATTTTTAAATTTCCAATTGCAAAAGCTGACGAAAAAATGCGAGATGGAAAATACAATATTTGTATATCCTTTTACTCTCTTTCATACCGTACACCTTCAATTAAACAAACATAAATTCGCGAAAATCGATTTTAATTGCTTTCGAAGCGATCCAAATTGCATTCAAGCGGAAACGCTGCGAATTAAACTCGATCCTTCCTCGAAGCGAGATTGTTTGTTACTTCTGAATCTCTTGATATAAATTGATATAATCAGAATCTTTTTTTTTTTTAATCTCGTCGACCTGTCAACTTTATATACATGCATATACATATAATTTGAGACAATCGAGTGGTGTTATTGAAATCAAATCTGGGTCATCTCCAGATAGCTTTCTAGTGAGAGCTCTTATCTTTACTAAACCATTATACCTGGCCCTTATACTTGGTATTTAACTTCTTGGAGATCGAAGTCTCTCGCCAAGTTTTGCGCAAATTCCAAGTAGGCAGATCTATTGTAAATCGACGCTGCGAGAACCATAAATAAACGACGACTCACCTAGCAACATGATGACGACATCCTCGTTCGCGTGTTCCCGTATTTCGCTCAGCCAAGCCCTGATATTGTCGTAACTCGTCTTATTTGTCACGTCGTACAGCAGTAAAAGCGCTGGAATCACGTGTAATCATTTTTTTTTAATCGTCGACCTAAGTCATCGACTTAAAGTCATCTGATAGTTGATAGCTTTTTATAAAATACATCATAAAAGTTTGATTACGTTATAGAAGTTTGAAAGAATAATTGAGTTAAAGCAAGAACGGAGATACTGCGTATAAGTATAAATTAATTAAAAATTAAAAGAGAGAAGCACACAAGACAAATAATAATTATTTCTGAAAAATCCTTTAAATATAACAAAACTTTTCCAACATGTTACATATTATATAACTATAAGATAAAATGCCAACATGTTAATATAATTCTATTCGGATTACTTTAATCGTAAATTTTTCAAAATTTCGAGGCCGGAATTTTATTCAGTGCCAAAAAATACGGGTAATGATGACTCTTTCTTGTGTTCGAAAACAATTATTTTTTGTTAAACTGGAATTTACATATAAATAAAATTTGCTTGGAATATTATTCTAAAAAAAGGTAAGTCTTATTTTTTATATTTAAACTTTAAACGTAATTTATATTTAATTATCTGATACAATTTAAACTGCAAATGTATAATTGAAAAATTTTAACAAATTTTTGGACGTATCTGATAAACAAATACATATATATAGAGTGTATTTAAATTAGTGAAAAATTTTAGATAATTCTTTGTCCAAAATTAAGGGAGATTTCTTATATAAATATCCCTCCCTAACGAGTTAAACTTTTCTAAAGAGGGAAATACAAATTAAATTTTTATTTGTGTTAAATATTAAAAAATATCCTTTTTATTAGAGAAAAATTCTTTGTCGAAAATTAAGGGGAGTTTCTTATATGTATAAGCATATACTTTTATATCCTTCCTAAGTATTTTTTTCTCAAATTTCAGACAAATTAAAAAAAATAAAACTTGGTGGATATTTTCCACTAATAAAAAAAAAAACTTAATTCTCTTTCTTTAGAAAAGTGTAACTCTTCAGAGAGGGACATATTTATATAAGAAACCCCTCTTAATTTTCGACAAAGAATCATCTCTTTAATTTTTTGCACTTATTTAAATACATCTTCGCAGTAGAAAAAATTACGTTTTCTTGTTAAAAGCGGTCCCCGTTAAAATTTTTGTGTTCAATATTTAACACATTCACGTGTTAATTTAACATATTACTGTCCTGTTAATTTAACTTAAATATTAAATTATTAAAAGAACTGAAAAAATGTCAAAATAACACAATGTACATCTATTTTTAATTTTACACATAAATATGTTCTGCTTTATTAGTGACAAGATTTATCTGTTAAAATTTACAGGAAAAAATGTTGGTTTTCTATTTTATAATATAAGTGGAGATGATAAAATCTAAAATTAACATACTTTTTGTTAATTTTTACATAAAAAGTATGTTAATTTCACACAAAATTTATTTTAAATTATTTGAAGGTTTGCATTTATTTAATGCTAAAATATTAACACAATATTTGTGTCTCCATTTAATATATCCCTATTATGTTAAATTAATATAAAAATTTCTGTGGACCGTTTGGGACACGTAATATCTGTTTTTAACAGAAATTTTTCAACTGTTGCATAAGCTTGCAATTAGTTTACTTTCGCCCGCGGAACTTTCGCCTCGCGCGAAATTCTATAACGGTCGCTATTTAATCTCCCAGATGGATCTGACACGTCTAATTATCGTTCACTCGTCCGGAGTGATTACTTCCGGCGAAGTTGTGGCGCAACGCACGGCGCAATTGTCGCAACAACTTTAGAATTCACAGATGGATTCTGCCGTGGAAAACAATGAGGTCGCTCCCTTGTCTCCCCTTTTAGGCAGCCTCCTCTTCGTATTCCAGCCCCGTCTATCTGTATAGCGAATCGAGTTTGGCTCTCAGCCAAAACTGGCGGGGCAACAAAATCGGGAACGCAACGACTAGAATTCGCGGCGCGCAAAGTTACAAATGGTTTGTGCATTGTAGACTCGACCCAAACCATAGTTTGTGTTGCGTTGGTGCGAGAAATCGACGGTAACGTTGCAAATTGATCATTTCGAATGCGAAAATGAACTCGGAATCTCGGAGAGAGAGTTGAATTGAGTCTCGAGGCGAGAGATGGAACAATTAAGATTTCCCCGAAGGCGGACCGATGCAATATCGTTGTTCGCGGTGACTTCTCTTCATTACGAAAATCCTCTTCGAAACTATCCTATAATCTCGAGAGATCAATGTGGATGAATTTTCGACAGATAAGTTTTCGCCGAAAATGCCGCATGTGCATCGGTGACATTTTAATACTCGAATTTGGTATGATTTTATTTATTTTTGGTTTCACCAAAATATGTTTTTATTATTACGAAAATAAGACATCGAGTTGTGAATTCTATATATTAGACAATTTGGTTTCAAATTGATCTAAATTCAAGACAAAATTTTAATACGCGAATTTTATATGACAAATTTACTTATTTTTATTTTTTATTATTACGAAAATAAACATAGTAGTTGAAAATAAGATATCGAGATGTGAATTCCATATATTATAAAATTTGGTTTTAAATCGATCTAGATTCAAGACAAAATTTAATACGCGAATTTTATGTGATAAATTTATTTTTATTTCCACAAAAATATTTTTCTTTTATTATTATGAAAATAAACATAGCTGTTGAAGAAAAGAAAATATATTTGGAGAAAATATGGCATCGAGTTCTGAATTAGAAAATTTGGTTTTAAATCAATCGATCAATATGTGAAATCATGAAAAATTTTAATACTCGAATTTTATATAACACGAATTTCCTTACTTCTGTTTTCACAAAAATATTTTTTTATTATTGCGAAAATAAACATAGCTATTGAAAAGAAAATAAAATTGGAGAAATATGAAGGATCCTCGGAGCGGCGCACTGCATCGATAACAATCATCGCGAGTTGAAATTGTGTTTCGTGTTTGGCATAAAAGAAGAATCACCTCGATTTTAAATCAAACGCATGTTAGAAAAACGCTTGATGCACTCGTTGAATGCACGTCGAATCTCTTTCCCTCTTTCTTTCTTTCGCTCACCGAGATATCTCTCATCATTTCCTGCTACGATAAAACGCGAGCAGAATGTTTCATATTCCCAACTTTAACGAGAGAATAAATCGTAATATAAATGGTGAAAAAATCCTCTTAACGATCTTAAAATATCGCCCGAACGAAGCAATCGACAAATTACGTTTTCATAAAATGTCATCCCTGGATTTTCTCGTTATATTAAGACACTCGTTAGTCGCAATTAATCAAAATTCTAATAACACTCGAGCGTGATTTATCGCTAATGAAATGCATTTTCAGCATCGATGCTAATTCTGCCAGTTTGTATTTAATTCTAATTTCCCACGTGCGTGCGTATCTGTCGATTATTGGATCAATATGCTAATGCTCGGATTATTACTGATGTAGGGATATATATGATTTACCATGTGCGTCTCGGTAATAAGCGTGCGTCACGCTTCGAAACCTCTCCTGGCCGGCCGTGTCCCAGATTTGCAGCTTGATCGGCGTGTCATCGACGGTGACAACTTTGTTCTGCAAGAATAGGAAATATCATTTCTATGGAGTCACACAGACACTTGACAGATTTAGAACCGCGACCATAAATCGCAATTTACATCGTCGTCCAATGTGAGCAACGCATTTTCTCGTTTAAAGAACAAACAACTCGTGAGACACTGCTTACAAAATTACGTACATAGACGGTACACGGGAACAAAATTAGCTACCATAGCTAAATTTTAGCTGTCCCCATATTACAACCTAAAAGTACCTCGCACTAATCTTATGTAATGGATTTCGGTTAAATCAGCTGTTTTTTTTCATATGTTGTAGCTTATGATCTGTTGAACAAAAGATGTAATAGTCTCAAAGCTAAATATTCGATATAGTCATACTGAGTTACAGCTAGTCAAACAACTCGCAAACCCCGAATTTTTGTATTTGACTGTTGTAAATCAGAAACTATTATTTAGCTTTGAGTCGATTACATTTTTTGTTCGACAGATCATAAGCTACAACAAATGAGAAAACCACCTGATCTTACAAAGATTCAATTTTATATAATTAATACGGAGTTTTTGAACCTATATAAAATCCTGTATGAAATAAAATCCCAATAATATCAGCTGATTTTTTTCTCATATGTTGTAACTTATGACTTATTGAATATAATAGACTCTAAATTAAATAATAGATGGTTACTGATTTACAGCTAGTCAAACACGAAAAATTAAGACTTTGCGAGTTGTTTGACTGGATGTAACTCACAATCAGTAACTATCGAATATTTAGCTTTGAGGCTATGACATCTCTTGTTCAGCAAGTCACAAATTACAATATATGAAAAAAACAGCCAATTCCACCGAAAGCTAAAAATCCTGTCTTTGGAACTGGATCCTTTAGTTATCATGCCTAAATTTTAGCTATGGTAACTAATATTTTTAGCTATAGTTTTACATAGAATTCTATAACTAAAAAGTATTAGCTCAGCAATATAATTTTAGGTGCAATATAGGGCTAACAGCTAAAATTTTGCTACGGTGTCTAATTTTTTTTCCGGTACGAGATGAAAAATGACATCTCTCACCCTAAAATCAATGCCGACGGTTGTTATGTAGTTTCCCGACAGGAAGCGGCCGTCACGGAAACGCGTCAGAAGACAGGTTTTTCCAACGCCACTGTCCCCAAGCAACATCACCTGCATCGTGAGCGAAAATTTTCAAATGATTGTTTCATTCAGCTCGTCTCGCTCATCCGTAATTTGCATAAGCTCCGATCTACGATATTTTACAGAAAATAAAAAAAGAGATGCTTCTTCTGTCTGTTTTATCAACACAATGTTATTTCATTTAACTACTTATTGGCTACACGGAATGAAAAATCCTTTTTCAGAACTAAAGTATTCACAATAACAAATCTAGGCTAGTATGTATGTACAAAAAAAAACCAAGAAAGTTAAATAATTAATTTCTTTATCAGTCTTTTTATCGGTCGACATGATGCAAAAGACCGATAAGAAAACTGTAAGAGACTCTAAATTAAATAATAGATGGTTACTGATTTATAACTAGTCAAACACGAAAAATTAAAACTGCGAGTTGTCTGACTGGTTGTAACTCAGTAACTATCGAATATTTAGCTTTGAGCCTATTACATCTTTTGTTCAGCAAGTCATAAACTACAACATATAAAAAAAAAACAGCCAATTCCACCGAAAACTAAAATCCTATTGTCTTTGGATCCTTTAGTTGTCATGCCTGGAATCACAGCTAAATTTTAACTGTCCCTAATTACAACCTAAAATTCAGTTATCATGCCTAAACTGTAATTGCTTAACTTTCTTGGTTTTCTATACACATACATAGTATCCCGGATTCGTTATTATAAATACTTTAACTCTAGAAAAGAATTTTCCATTGCGCATTGCCAATAAATAATGAAGTGAAAATAAAATATTTGTCGATAAAACAGATTCAGTATCCCCAAGAAATAAAAATGATTTCGCACGCAAAAAAAGTTGAAAAGAAAGAAACAACATCCGCGAGAGAATAAGCGCGATCGGCGAGCGAGAAAGCAGCGAAAGCCGGCGAGGTATCAGGCGGCAGAGACCTTGAAGAGGAGGTCTGCGTGATCGGGTGGGGTATGCTGGCCGGCAGAGTCGACGCTGTCGCGCGACGACTGGCGTCTAGTCGGGCCCGCGATATCCTGGGGCCTGGTGGGAGCAGCAGGCGCGATGACAGGAGCTGGCTGGGCCGGGCCCCGCGTACCAGCCGCGGACCAATCAGCGGCCAAGTTGCCGCCGCCGCGCATGCCGTGTCTGCTGCGCCTCGACACGTTACGCAACGTTTCCTCCACGATGCTCATGAGCCCCTGCTACCGGGAGCACCAATTTGCTCTTCTTCTTCTCGGCCACTCCTCGTCGTCTCGTCGCGCGCGACGACGCCGTCGTCGTCGACGTCGTCGTCGTCGTTGTCGGTACCCTCGTCGTCGTAATCCTAAGAAGAGGCAGAAGGAGTAGGACGACTACGAGGTCACTAAACCCTTCTTTCCACGTTCGTACGTGCTTCCTTTTCTCCTCTTCTACCTCTGCTCCGACCTTCCGACGTCTTTCGTGTCTTTATGCCTTCAGTCGAGAGTGCCGCGGCCTTACTTGACGTAGGGATAAAAGCGCGGGAAATTGCGCTCCGCCGTCTCTTTTTTCGGAAGGTCCTCCTCTATCTCCCGTTGAGAACAACGAAACTGCGCGTTTCCTGGACGCGAAGCTGGATGACTGGTTACGGAATGCACTCACCTAGATTAGTACAAATGTTCTGAATAATTCACTCCGCTGCGTGCGCTATCCCGATATTTCCATTACTAAAACACTGCACAAAACGCTCCGTTGGTTTATTTACTTCGCGAAACGCGATGGAAATTTTTAAGCAAGAGCTTTTTTTATTATTTTTTTTTGCGTTTTACGTTCGCGCGATCGAGTGTGATCTTTCTCTCTCTCTCTTTGTAATTGGAAGTAATATTGAGTAAATTATGTAATCGGGACGAGATGAAAAAGTATGCGTTTTTCACGCGAGAGCTGCGTAAAATTGCGTGTATATGACGTATATTATAACAGCGTAATTGCGCTTTAATGGAGCTCGCGGCGAGCCAGCAGCTCGGACACATTAAATGCAGAATAAAAATTGGTTGACGGATGCAAAGGAAGAAAAATTCCCTTTGATTTCGTATGAAACGAGCGATGAAGTCGAGCCATTGAAATATACTCCTGACGTTTGACGTTGAGCGGGATTAAAATTCGCCGACGGGATGGACGGCAATTTGTACAAATCCAAAAACGCGGATGTGCAACTGCAGACATACCTGCACACACGTACACATTCAGATGCGTCGTGTCTCGGAATACGTCACGACCGGTTACGTCAGCGCGCTCGCGCGAGCGATTTTAATAAATTCGCGAAGTACCAGCGGACACTGAAGCTGCTGGTTCACCTGCAACGAACCTTCTACGAGATTGAAATCGATCCTAGTGTACAACCATGCGCGAATAATCGGCTTCGGAGAAACGTCTAATAAATTCCCCGTAATTCCGCTGCATATGTATGAAAATCGTCGAAATTAATGACATTTCGAAAATAATTAGGTATAAGCATTATAATATATATAGTGCTTATAATATAAAATATATATAGAGTGCTTATAATTATTTTTTCGATATTATATTAAAATTAATTTTTTCAATTTATAATATATATTTCGCAAGCTACATTTTTTCCCCTATATTTTTCATTAATTTTAATTTTAATCTAAAATTTAGGTTGCACAATCAAATCTTGAAACTATTAATTTTTTCAATTTGTATAATACTTCACAAGGCAAATTTGTTCTCGTATATTTTTGATAAATTTTAATTTTCTAAATATATTTTGTGAGCAATCAAATCTTCAACTAGTTTTGTGCGTAAAAGCTCCCCTTTTAAATTTCCTTTAAATGAGAAACGATACGTTTACTGTCTGTATAAAATGTTTAATTAGCAAAGCTCGTATGTAAGTAGCAATTCAGTTCGTATATAAATTAAACATTCTTTTACAATCTATTAGAATCGCAAATAGAAGAAAATCTAGATCGAAATTCGGAGTAAAAAATTCAAGAACATACATAATTATTGTGTTTCGCGAGCAATATCGAAGCAACAAATTTCATGTAGAAAAGAAGTCTAAAAATCTTTGGCGGAGATAATGTCCCTTATGCACAGGATCGATGCCCTTCATATGTCATTTTGTAGCAAAGCTGCATGTCGAGATTCCATCGCGATACTGTAACGTTGTCACCTGTTGCAATAATGAGCTGTTACATGCGTGTGGCAGATTGAAACGACTTTGTTTTCGAAATCTCAGAAAACCATCTATTCGTGCATCTGACAGCTGATAAATACTTATATGGAGACGATTTGTCCTTGACGAAAATGTCGAGGGAGGTCATCATATTTTACAAGCTCCGAATTTTTGGCCATATTTCTTTGCAAGCCTTAAAATTCTATTAAATTAAATTCGATCTGAAATTAATTAAAACATATATTTGTTGGTATTTTATATTTCCACAAGGCTTAGTTTGCGAAGACCCTTTATGTTCAATCACTTAGAACTCGATAATTAATCATTGGTGCCTCGACACTTTCACTGAGGACAAATCATTTCCGAATAATCCTACACGGTAGAAACATTTGTTTTCTTGTTAAAAACGGCCCCCATTAAATTTTTTGTGTCCAATATTTAACACATTCAGATGTTAATTTAACATATTACTGTTCTGTATAATTGAAATGTCAAATTATTAAAACAACTGAAAAAATGTAAAAATGACACAATGTGCATCTAATTTTAATTTTACACAATAAATATGTTCTGTTTTAAGAGACAAGATTTATCTGGTACAATTTATAGAAAAAAATGTTGATTTTTTATTTATAATATATAAGTGGGGATGATAAAATATAAAATTATCATATTTTTTGTTAATATATATATATGTGTGTGTGTGTGTATAAATATATGGAATTTCTCTATACATAAATTATTATTATACCCAATAATAATAAATATATATATTTATATATATGCGTATCGTACGTCGTATCGGGATAAAGAAAAATCCTCGTATAATGTCGATCGCGAAGTGCATTCTCTAACAGCGCTCGTAAAAAAAATCTCGACCGTCATTTTTATCTAGAAGGAATCGATATATTGGCAATCGTGACTCTTATCGCAATTTTTCCATCAAATTGTCCAAAATAATTTTTTCTTATTCACGCTATCGGAAGTGTTTGCAGGCGCGGATTATTCCAACTTTTATTATTACGCGATATAATACCCGCCCTGTATAGATTATTCGGCTTTTCTTCTCTCTCTCTCTCTTTCTCCCTTTTTTCTTTTTTCTCTCATTTCCGCGGTAATAAAATCGCGCGGAGATGCGTTTCTTCCGTCGTCGCTTCGGGAACGAGCCGAGGAGAGTGAGAACTTCCATCAAGGGCTTCGTGTACACGTTGCGAGGGAGAAAATATATTTCCGGGGAATAAAACAGTCTGCTTTACGCGAGTGGAATGCGTTACAATCGCGACTTTGACGATTTCGATGCGCCTTTTACGTCTTTTTACGCGGATCGAAATCGAGAGGAACCGGTCGGCACTAAAACTCGTCTTCCGGATCATTTCCGGCCTGATCGGAATGGGAAATAGAAAATCGGCCTCATTCGAGGCGACCGCGGTGTGTGCAATCGCGAAAAAGCCTCGGATATGCGATTGCATTTGGTGGTCCATTTGCAGAGCGCAATGATATTCCCGACTAGGCCTCCTGAATAATTCAACCCGCGTAATAGTGCGGACGATGGAAAATATATGTTATATTCGAGCATATAATTACACCAATAAAAATTTATGTCGTTCGCGATATGTGACATTTATTACCGCGGAATGCGCGGAATTTCTATTCTACGAATTTAATGCAACACTAAAAAAAATTTAATTCTTACAAGTATTTATTTCAATACTGTCAAATAAATCATTTATTTGAAACTAATAATATTTATATAATATAACTAAATAAGCCAAACCGCGCAAAAATTAAATATTTTTTTCGCGGATTTTTAAACCTGACAGATTGTCAAGATATTAATTGGAAACTGTGTCCTATGGTTAATATTATTTATTTGATATAAGAAAATTGCTTTCAAAACAAATAAATATTTATTTGTTTCAAATAAATTATTCATTTGACAGTATTGAACTAAATATGTATTAATTTAGACGTTTTTTTTCAGTGGACACACTCGGCTAAATTATATTACTCGCGCGAAAAAATCGCGCGAGGAGAGAACGTAATTTGTGTCGGTAATTGTTTCCAAGAGGTAAAGAGAAATTAAGGTAGTCTTCTGACAAGCGTTATTTTTTTGTTTTTTTTTCGAAATTTTTATACAGAATTTTTACCATAAGAGCTTCTGCATTGGTGATTTTTTACATATTTATTAGTATCTACAGTATGTTTTTAAATTTCTTTGGTACAAAGAAATGAAAATTAGTTGCAGTGGACTGCTTTGAAGTTAAAAGTTGGTGTCGTTTCTACCACAATTATGTCTAAATATTTTTTTCTTCATTTTTACAGCCTTTTAAAGATAAAAAATAGTATAAATAAAAGCCTAATTTTTAAAGCAATGTAATTTTTAGAATTTTCAATTGTTTTTTTCTGGTACTTGCTATAACCAAAGACATAGGTACTAATTAGAAATTAATTTCGAATTTTTAAATAAGCAAGATTGGCTCAATCATGCACTGTAAAAAATATGTAAAATTACATTAAAAATATGTAAAATTACCTAAATAATTAAATGTAAAATTACACGATATAAACAATGAAAATGTATACATTTTCATTATTTATGATGTAATTATACATTTATTATTTATGTAATTTTACACATTTTTATGTAATACATTACATAATTTTTTACAATGTGGACTGCATGTGCCAACTTTTTTTTCATCGATAACTTCGAAGTGTGGTCCACTGCAATTAATTTTCATTTTTTTGTATCAAAAAAATTGTGTACACTGTAGATATTAATAAATATGTAGAAAAATTTCGATACAAAAAGCTTTTTATTCTGTATAAAAAATTAAAAAAAATGCTTGTTACATTAGAATAAGAGATGACTCGAGAAGAGGAATTCCGTCAGCTGATCGGCACGAAAAACCGGATTGCAGCTTCGTGGGCCAGCCTATCCGCTCTTTTGGGCCCACCCACGCCGCCGAAAAAAAAGAAAGGAAAAAAGACTCCCTGCGGCTGCCGGGCTGGTTCTACCCGATCGGTGGCGCCCTTTTGCAAACATTTCTCCGAAGAGAAACGACAAACGATCGGGAAGCGTGAGACCAAAAAATCGCTCCGCGACACAGACACGATTGATTACATATATCGACCTGGTGCGATATTATATAAAACTGGACGTGATTAATCGAGGTACTCTATCGCGTGGATGCCCTTGGCTCGGCCATTGACATCGTCTTCTCGCGTGATTCTCGTCTGCGGGTCGTTACGTCACGCATAAGTCACACGTCGGTGAATTCGCTTCTCCCATATATATCTATGGGATTTGTCGATTTTTCCCGTTTCTGATACGATATTTCTTTCTTACTTGACAACTACACGTAGCGTAATAAAAAAGTAGAGAATCAAAACACATATACAGGGTGTTTAAAAACTGGCGGAAAAGTTTTTAATGGATCAGATTCCTTGGATTTTTCCTCAGTGAAAATGTGAAGACACCAATAATTTTCGAATTATAAGCAGCTGAAAATAAAAGCTTTTTTGGCAACTAAGCTTTG